TCACCCTGAAGGCAGTGTGGCCAGGCCTCAGTTCCCGACTCTGAACTCAAGTGGAGGGCCCAGCACAAGGGTGGTGAATCTCCCCAACATGTGACCGGGAGTAGCTGAGCATGGGGTCGCTCCATTTCCCTACATTAGAGCTGTTGAAGAGACACTACAAAGATTAACAGGAGCAAAAATGAAGGAGAAGGAAAGAAAAAGAAGAGTGAAGGAGAATCAAAGACAATGAACAACTGTGGGACGATCGAACAACTCCCCAAATTTACTATGAAACACTGAATTGCACACATACAAACAAGAGACTCTATAGTATGTGATCATACCTCAATAAAGCTATTAGAAGAAATGCCTCCTTTTCTTTCGTTGTGAGAGCTGGAAAGAGAACTTTTTTAGTTAATACTGATACTGTACTAGTGTTAACTTTGCCCCCAATCACACTGAATCTGGGTTAAGAAATTAGGGTAAATAAGGTAAGAAGTCATTTCACTTATGTGACCGACACGTAAACCCTTTCTCTCCCGATTGCCCAGAGAGTCCTAACCATTTGAAACAAACCCAGGAAATCCAATAAGGGGAAAGTGCCGGACAAACACTTGCCAGAGCTCCTGCAAGGTTACCAGCGTCTTATCTCCAGTTTTCTCAAGGTGTGCTTATATCACAGCTGAACTGAGTGTTCACAAAACCAGATGGAAAAAGTCCCACTCAAATTTTAAACTCACCACTTTCCAGAACCCCTGGACTGTATCGAACCCATTCCCTCCTCTTCATAAGCTACAGGCCAGTAAGCAGAAGATGATCTGTTTACCTGGCTGATCATGAATATATCAGGACAGCCTTCCATGATGAATTCTGAAGGCAGCCAGGACTATGGTTTTGAAGACTAGGCAGCAACTCTTTAGCCAAGTATCTTACTACTTAAATAGGAAAAAGAAGCCCAAGTGTATGTACACAAGACTACCACTGATGGGGCCACCAGGCTGGCTCAGTTGGTAGAATAAGCAACTCTTCATCTCAGGGTCATGAGTTGAAGCCCCACGCTGGGCATGGAGCCTACTTAAAAAAGACTACAGGGCGCCTGGGTGGCTCAGTTGGTTAAGCGACTGCCTTCGGCTCAGGTCATGATCCTGGAGTCCCAGGATCGAGTCCCGCATCGGGCTCCCTGCTCGGCAGGGAGTCTGCTTCTCCCTCTGACCCTATCCCCTCTCATGTGCTCTCTCTCTCAATCTCTCTCAAAAAAAAAAAAAAGGCTACAACTGATGCGGAGCCTCTGTTTATCTGTTTACCTGTTGATGGCCACTGGCATTGTTTCCAGTCTGGGGCTCTCATGAATGAAGCAGCTATAAACGCTCAGAACAGCCTCACGTGGGGAAAACCGCCTTTGTTTCTCTGCTGGGCCACAGTGGCGGGTGTGAACCATTCCACCAGCAAGGTATGAAAGTTCCAAGTGGTTTTCCATCCAGCCTTTTAAAAAATTTGAGCCACTCTTGAGTGGGCAGTGAATCTCTGTGTGGTCTTTAAGTTTCACTGGGGTATAACTGACATACAATAAACAGTGCAGGTTTAAAGCGTACAATTTTACAAACTGACATACATCAATATATGTAAACACCCACGATCAAGATAATGAATACATCCATCACCAAGTCTCCTTATGCCCTTTGTCATCCCTTCCTCCTTTTTTTCCTTCCTCCCCCAACCACTGATCTACTTTCTATTACTATTAGTTAGGTAGCACTTTCTAGAGCTTTATATGAACAGAATCACAGAGTATATACTCTTTTTTTTGTCAGAGTGCTTCTTTTATTCAGTGTAATTATTCTGAGATGCATCCACATCATTGTGTGTATCAATACTTCATTCCTTTTTTTTTTTTTTAAGCCGGGTAGTGTTCCCAACTTAGTTTACCATAATTCCCATATTTGAAGAAAACATGACAATAGCGACCATCAAAAGGAAATATTCAACTAGGCAGGCCAGAAGGTTTGTAACACCAGCTATTATGCAAAGCACTTCTGAAATTACCTTTCCCTGCCCTTTGAGGGGTGGGGGAATGGCCCAGGAAAGACTCAGATAAGCAAAAGAAAATGGTCCCTTGTAGCTTAAGGACACTTGGCAGGACTATGTCAGCACTTTTCATCCCAGGATCTCAAGAGCTTTAAGAAACACGTTTTATTTCATATACAAGAAAACAAATGTTACTTGAACTGACTCAGAGCTCAGCAGGAGTCACCCTTGCCTGCCATTCTCCTACTCTGGCAGGTACACACATTCTGCCTCTAAACAAACTTTCAGGTAAAACCAACTGAACAAAACTGGTATCAAATGTGGCTGCACGTCGGGAAACAGTCTGGCAGCTCCTGGAAGGGTTACACACAGAGCTCCCACACAACCCAGCAATCTCACCTACAGCCACACAGAAACTTGCACACGAATGTTCACAGCAGCATTGTTTATAATAGCTACAAGTGGAAACAACCCAAACATCCACCAACAGACAAGTGGATAAACAAATTGTGGTCTGTCTGTACTGTGAAATATTATTCAGTCACAGAAAGAAAAGGGAGTAGATACATGTTACAACATGGTTGAACCTTGAAAACATGCTCAGTGAAAGAAGCCAGACATAGAAGACCACACATGGTCATTTATATCAAATGTCCATAGTAGGTTAACCTGAGACATTAAGATTAGTGGTTGCCTGGGGTTGGAGAAAGCAGAACCGACAGGCTAAGAGGTGTGGGGTTTCTTTTTAGGGTGAGGAAACTGTCCAAAAATTGATTATGGAGATGGCTGCACACCTGTGAATATACTAAGAGGTACTGAACTGTACACTCTAAATGGGCAAACCGTACGGTCTATGAATTCTATCTCAAGAAAGCTGTGAAACAGGAGTGGCTGCACAGCATTTGATAAGTCACAGCCACTCACCCAATAAGATAAAATCAAAAGGCATTCAAAATGGGTTTTTTGAGTCTTTCTGAAAGCCCCATCATACAGTTAGCTACACAGCCAACTCCTAAGGACAAATAAGAAAAACCCCAAATGTGGTAGGCAGCCAATGCCACCACCTGGCCCAGGAGATAATCAACTTTTTTCTACTTCCCAATTCTATTCAGACTTTCCTGCCCCCAAATTCAGGGCCTTCCCTTGCGATACAAAGGATATTACTCCCAATTCCCAAACACAAAAGTTAGGCTACAGGTGAGTGGGTCATCAGAGTTAATTAAAGGCAAGGAAGGACAGACCCTTTTGATGTCATCAGAACTCAAGTGAGCTCAACTGCAACATCTACCTTTGGTGGAGAGTTTTAAGGCTCTTATTTTATACAGCTCAGTGTCCAGGTGCAGAAAAATAGATTATTTCAACTTAAAGAGAAGGACACACCCTGCAATTAATCGCAAACGGAATGCAAGGAACAAAACTAGAAGTCAGAGCTGCTGTATATTACAGTTTAAAAAGAATTTGCAATAAAACAATTACCTTTCCCAATCCTGAGCTGCCATGAATCATGACACACTGCTCAACTGAGAAATCTTTCTCCTCAGCCTTCTGGACACACTGGACACAAGTTATAGACAGCACTTATCTAATCCATCTGAACATAAGTCCAGATTTCATCTATGTTTAAAAGTAACAAAAATAAAACTCCTTATACCCCCTTTTTACAGCTGTGGAAACAGAGAAGTCTACAGAGTATGGGAAACTACAGGTGTTAATATGAGCCTCCAACAGCTCATTCATTTCTCCAGGCAAACTCTCCCAGTCTCTACCTTTCTCCACCATATGTACACCAAACTGAAAAAACATACATACTTGCACACCTGTTCTCCCTGATGCTCCGCCCATCAGGCGTCTATTTTTAAGGAATCTGGGGTTAGAATGAGTCAAATGTTTTCTGCTTCTATTAGGGGCTAAAAGAAAATCCAAGTGGGTGGTCTACCCACGGGAGTGACTCAATCAACTAGAATGCAAGCCCTCCTCCCCCAAGGACAGAGTCTGAGCTCACTCTGGCTGAGATGGGGTGGCTCCCCCAGCCCTGACAGTGGGTCCTCATGCCAAGGGACCCCTGTGACAAGGGATCCCAGCCCAAGACCCCAGCCAGTCCCCCCTCTGCCACTCCAGGGCAGGGACCTAGGTTCAAGAGGTGTGAGCGTGATACTTCCCATAACACAACCCAAACTTAAAATACCTAAGTAGCTTTCCCTAAACATTCACATCATTGAAAACAAAATTTTCCAACGTGGCAGTACCACTTCACTGCCCCGCTTGAGGAACAAACTCAAACCTAACTTTTCCAAGGCAGGGCTGTGGAATTACATAACAGGTCGGTTTCAGCAACAGGCAAGGAGGAAAAACAAAACGCAACCTGACTCTTGAATAATCTTTTAACAGCCAGCGAGTATGGGATTCTCCACTGGAGGCAAAAAATTCCGTCTCTGCTCCGGGAGCTTCGACCCTCCCCTCTCCAGCGTCCCTGGGCCCGGGGAAATTTGAACCCGCGGCTCAGTAGGCATGATTAGGGGGGGTGGGGGGGTGGGGCAGGGAGGACGGATCGGCCAGAGGGGGGACCGGGACAGATCACCACCCCCGGGAGCTGGCTTGAGCAGGACACGGACCCAGCAGGAGGGAAACTCGGAGACAGGTCAACCCCGACCTGGCTAGGCACGGACCGAGAGCAAGTCACCTCGGACACGCCCGGAAGGGACTTCGGGCAGGTGACCTAAGACGCGGCCTGAGACAGATTCTGAGCAAATCACACAGACCCAACCAGAGCCGGACTCGAAAGAGGTCTCCCCGGGCCCGGCTGGAGACCGAGAACCGAGGCAGGTTACTACGGACCCGGCCGGAACTGGGGGACCCGGGGAAGGTCAGCCCGGGCCGGGCCTGAGTCGGGGACCAGGGACAGGTTACTCCGAACCCGGCCAGAGTGCGGGACCCGGGGCAGGTTCCCAGGCGCCGAGACCCGGCCCGGGCTTCCGGCGCCGCCATGTGCCGCTCACCTGCGCGTCCAGCTGTCCGGCCGCAGAGCCCGCGCCCGCGCCGACCGGGCCGCCCGCGCCACCTCCTCCGGGGCCGCCGGGGCCACCCGGGGGCGTCTGCGTCTGGCTGGGGAGGGTGAAGTCGGTGAACTCGAACTCCGAGCCCTGTGTGTCGGCGCCGAGCAGCTCGGCTTCCTCGGTGTCCAGGAAGGTGAGCGTCTGAGAACTGGGCCCGTACGCCTCCACGCTCATGGTGCCGCCGAGTAGGGCCCTCAGGCCGGCTCCGCGCCGCACTCGAGCCCGCCGCCGCGCTGAGGCCTAGGCCGCAGGCCTCGGGCCGCCGCCGCAGCCGCGCCCACGCTCCTGAACCGGACTGAAACGCCCGCCGCGCCGCGAGCCGGGCCAAGAGCCACGCGTGCCGAGCCGCCGCCGCTGCCACTGAGCCCCTCAGCGCCGCTGCTCCCCTCGGAGCCGCCCGCCGCTCGCAGCCCCCGGCAGGAACCGCCGCCGCCGCCGTGCGCGTGCGCGAGCCCGACGCCGGCGCAGGTGCGCGTGCGCGAGCCCGACCCCGGCGCAGGCGCGCGCGCTCCTCGCGGACGCCTCCAACCGCGCCCGGACGCCCGCAGCCGAGCGGGCCGGCGGAACACTCAGCGCGCACGCGCGGGAGGCGGGGGTTTTAACCGCCGTCGCGGCGGCCGCACGAGGACGTGGTCCCGCCCCAACCGCTGCCCAGTGGCGCCCGGCGGCGTGACCGAGATGGTTGCTTCCGTGGGGGCGGCGAGAGTGCCTCGGGTTAATTGAGCACTATCTGGTTGCTTTACAAAGGTGGTCTCGGAACAACCAGTTGAGGAAGCCTGGCAGGGACGATGTACCTCCATCTCTGGGAGAAGCTCCCTGGGCCTCAATTTCCCCATCTGTAAAATGGGGTTGCCTGGCACAGAACGGGTGCTCAGTATTAATTGGTTGAATAAAGGAATGGGGACAGTCCTTAGCACGGAGTTTGGCACAGGGCAATGGTGATGGCTGCTGCTTCGGACGATAATCATAACAATAATGTTAATTATTAATATAATTATTTCATTAGCTATAATAACGATATATTGTAATTATTAATTACACTAATTATAATCACATAATTTTTAATCTTATTCAGAGGCAGTATATAGCAAAGTGATTGGAAGCACTTGCTCTGGGGTGAAATCCAGACCTGGACACCTGCCAGCTGTGTGACTTTGTACAAGTGACTTCACCTCTCAGGGCCTAGAGTTTCCTCCCCTGGGAAAGGGAAATACCATCCATTAAGATGGGATGAAGAGGGGCGCCTGGCTGGCTCAGTGGGTGGAGCCTGTCACTGGATCTCCAGGTTGTGAGTTCGAGCCCCATGTTGGGTGTAGAGATTGCTTTAAAAAATAATATAAAAAAAAAAATGGGATGAAGAATGCATGAACTACTATTCACTCCCTTAAGTATTTATAAAGGAAAATTCCACATGGACAGAGGTTGGCTTTGTTCACATCACACAGTCTTTCCCAAGGGGAGAATAATGCCCCCACGCAGTAAGTGCTCAGTAAACGTTTGTCCAAGTTCAGCTACTGATTTATGAACTTAACTCCAAGCCTCAGCTTCCTTTTTTATTTTTTATTTTTATTTTTATTTTTTTAAGATTTTATTTATTTATTTATTTGACAGAGAGAGACACAGCGAGAGAGGGAACACAAGCCGGGGGAGTAGGAGAGGGAGAAGCAGGCTTCCCCGCGGAGCAGGGAGCCCAATGTGAGGCTCGATCCCAGGACCCTGGGATCACGACCTGAGCTGAAGGCAGACGCTTAACGACTGAGCCACCCAGGCGCCCCTCAGCTTCCTTTTTTATATAGCAACTCAGAGAACCTCCCCACCTCCACTTCCCTTTTTGTCACAATATTCTGGGGCCCTGTAAATACTTGAAGTTCACAGGGCTCCTGGTTTGCACGGCTACACTAAAAGTTCCTGATCCTGCATGGTTCCTCATTTTTCAATATTCCTGTCACTACATTGATAAAAGTTTTCTTTTTCTTTCTACATCTTTTCTGGCCTCCTACCATGCATTAAAATGTGGGAATATAGAAATTAAATAATTAGGTCCCCAGGAAGACACAGTTTAAGAGGAAATTCCAACAAACCAATAGATGGTTTCAATAAAACACAAAGCGCTCTTTGGAAAATATTCAACTGAACTGATAGAAGCATTTAAAATGAATCTAGTAACACCTATCAGAGTTTTAAACACCTCCTCCTCCTCTCCTTTGACCTAGCCATTCCACTTCTAAGGATTTCCTCCTTATTTTCTACGTACAGTCACATTTGCAAAATGACATTTTAGATGATACACTAAAACATTAACACAAAAAAAGTTGGTAATGGAATTGTGGGGAGAAAAGACATAGACATACAGAAAATAAACTGCAACATGGCAGAAATGAGTCCTTATTCGTAATTACTTAAATGTAAATGGATTAAACTCTTCACTTACAAGGCAGAGATTGTCGGATGGATTTAAAAAAAATGATCCGACTAGGGGTGCCTGCGTGGCTCAGTCGCTTAAGTGTCTGCCTTTGGCTCAGGTCATGATCTCAGGGTCCCTGCTTCTCCCTTTCCCTCTGCCCCTCCCCCTGCTCATGCTCTCTCTCTCTTTCTCTCTCTCTCACAAATAAAATCTTTTTAAAAAATGATCCAACTGGGGCGCCTGGGTGGCTCAGTCGCTAAGCGTCTGCCTTTGGCTCAGGTCATGATCCCGGGGTTCTGGGATCAAGCCCCACATCGGGCTCCAGCCCCACATCGGGCTCCCTGCTCCGCGGGAAGCCTGCTTCTCCCTCTCCCACTCCCCCTGCTTGT